TTGAGGGTTGTAAGGTCGAAGACGTTGTTAAGTGAAGAGGCAAAGGGGTTGATACTGGAACGTAGGAAGTATAGTCGTGAGTGTATAATAAAATATGTGAAGTCATTTGGGCCAGAATTTAGAGATATACACGCTTTAATTAATCTCCACGACACTTGGCGTAAGGTGGACGGCCTACTGTGAACGTCCTTCTTTATTCTATTATTCAAAAGACTAGCATCGAGTTATCTGTTAGTTTGGTGAATAGTTGTCATGTATAACTCACCGATGTTTCCGGTATTTTTATGTATAAAAGCTTACTGATGGTTTTCCCTTATTATTATTATTTTTTTTTAGTGATGGCAATGATGAGATTAGTTTTAAAGGTGAAAAAGCACTAGCCGAGACTCTTCGCATAAATACTACCATGAAATCCTTAAATCTTAGCACAACTGAAATTATGACGCGTAACTAAAAATATTTTGGAAATTTACCAAACCTTTGATGAAATATTGATACCATTAAAGATATTATTAAGAAGCACGAATATCGGATGTAGTGTAGTAAGGTGAAATATCTACTTCGCTAAGTTAATACTATGTTATATGCAACTGACAATACTAAAATATTTTGAAAATTTATTGAACCTTAGCCTAAATACCGATACTATTTAAGAAACGTGAATATTCGATATAGTTAAGTAAGGTGAATATCTACTTCGTTAAGTTAATGCTGAGTTATATGCAACTAAAATTACCTGATAGGATAGAGAACTGGAAACGTATTGTGGTCACAGTTTGCGAAAGTCGCTAGCCAAGTAACAGACTTGGTGTAAGGTGGACGGCCTACTGTGAACGTCTTTCTTTATTCTATCATTCGAAGGACTAGTATCGAATAATATCTGTTGTGGTGAATAGGTTGTCATGTATAAAAGCTACCGATGATTTCTGGGTTTTTATCTTAATAATAATGACGTATTAATTATTTCTTACTTTGTCTATTTTTTTTAGTACCGACAAAATCGATATTTCCGGATTTTGCAATATAAAATCTCGTTTTTTCTGTTACTTAATTTTATTATTATTTTTTTATTCTCAATTTTTTTTTTCTAATTATAATGCATACCAAGCCAACGTAAAATACCGATACCATTGAGAAAAACATCAGTATATTTATTAATATTGAATATAATAGGGTAAGGTGAAATATCTATTTCACTAAGTTAATACTGTGTTATATGCAACTGACAATACAATGTGTAACTAAAATATTTTGGAAATTTATTGAACCTTGGCCTAAATACCGATACTATTGAAGAACTTATCTGTATATTGTTAAGAAACGCGAATATTCGATATAGTTAAGTAAGGTGAATATCTACTTCTCTAAGTTAATGCTAGGTTATATGCAACTGAAGTTACGCTGTCACTAGGATGATAGGATAGATTAAAGTTGGTCACCGAAACCTTTTTGGCCAAATCCGAAAGTTTCGGGTTTTGGATTATAGTGTCTGAAACCTCATCTGAAACCCCGAAACCTTATCCGAAACCCGAAACCCTACCCGAAATCCTGAAACTCTATTTGCATAATAAATTTTGATAAAATCAACGAAAAAGTATGAAAATCGGAATGAATTATCAAGACAATGCAATTGTATTAGAAAATCTTGTAGGTTTAATTTTTAATGTGCTCTAAAATATTATAACTCTGATTATTTATTTGAATTTAGAACGTTATACTTATCGTTATATCAAATCTGCAGAATAA